GAAAAGAAAAAGAAAATATGTAATATATTCAAATAATACTAGAAATTAACATAATCAATTAAATTTGGTAAACTGGCCATTTATTAAATTGATTTTCAGGAAATCAGCTGCCATCTCAGAGGGGAACAGTTCCAAGCCCGCCTGCAACTTCAAGCTCCTCTTTTAGCTAGGAGGACACAGGGAAAGAGAGTGGCCCCACAAATGGCAAGATAAATCTCTGAATGAAGATGGGAACCAACAATGATCTAGACGGTGATGGGCGAGGCAGGGATGAGGGTCAGAGAAGAAGGAAAACATGTGGGCATTCTCATTCAGGCCTGACCTCACCACAAGTGGACTGACTTTGTGCAGTGATATTGCTTGGCTGTGTTCCCACCCAAATCTCAACTTTAATTGTAGCTCCCAGAATTACGAACCCCCACCCCCTCACCGTGTTGTGGGAGGGACGTGGGGGAGGTAATTGAATCATGGGGCAGCCTTTCCCGTGCTGTTCTCGTGATAGTGAATAAGTCTCAAGATCCGATGGGTTTGCCAGGGGTTTCTGATTTTGCTTCTTTCTCATTTTCTCTTGCCACCTCCAGGTAAGAAGTGCCTTTTCCCTCCCTCCATGATTCTGAGGCCTCCCAGCCATGTGGAACTGTAAGTCCGATTAAACCTCTTTTTCTTCCGTCTTGAGTAAGTCTTTATCAGCAGTGAAAACAGACTAATAGATGCAGTAACTGAGAAAGCTTGCTGGGGTGAGGGCACTGGAGTAGAGGGAGCAAGGAGAGAGATCTGTGAGCTGGAGAGAAGCGGAGGAAGAGGATTTGGGGGGATGATTGAGAGAAGTCGCAGGTTTTAAGAGAGAGAGATTGGGTGTTTACGGCCCCCTCATGAGTGCTCCTCCCATTCCGCTGGGGGACCTCCTCTTGGTCCTTACCAAATGCCCTCTACCCTCTGACACCCAGCTCTCCTCTGACCAAGCATCGTCCCCCAGGCAGGCCTGGCCTACGCCCTCCTTGGTCACCCTGACTTTACTGTGGCCACCTGTGGGAAGGTAGGCCGCGGCGCTCTCCGAGCGCTGAGACATCGGGTGGAGAATCGTTTTCAACAAGGCTCCGCATCAGAAAGAGGCGCAGTCACTCTGGCAGGCTCCATCCCCTGTGACTGCTCCGCTCTGGGCTCTGGTCCAAAGCTGAGAGCCCCTTCCGCTCTGACAGCCTCTTCTGCCCTGCCCCGCCACTGCTGTGAGTGACAGGGGGTAATGGAGAAGCCGCTCCCCGCTGCAGGAGGGAAGACCCGGAGCCCGGCCTCCCTCGGTAGCCGCACATATAAACCCCAGCCACTATGGGCGGAAAGGAGAAGGGCAGCGCGGAAAAGGCCGAGGAGGAGGGAGGAAAAGGTGTCCTGGCGAGCACCGTGTGGATTCTCTTGAGATGAGAAGACAATTCCCGGCTACATCCCTCCTGCTGCTGCCCCTGCTTCTCCTGAGGTGTTCAGAACGGGGTAGGGGAGTTAATTTTGGTGAGAAGGATGCAAAGGTTCCCAGGGCCTGGAGAGACGGAGTCCGGGGTCCTGGAGAAGAAACCTCTGGGGACTCAGACAGGCCCAATCCTGAGCGAAGGTACGGAATAGGTGAGTGAACCTTGGGAAGCTCCGGACCCTGCTATTTGCCTTCAATCACCTGCTACAGGGAAGCAGGGAGCCCAGTGTCTTTCTCATATTCCCCCGCCCTCTTTATTTTTGAGACGGAGTTTCACTCTTGTTGCCCAGGCTGGAGTGCAACGGCGTGATCTCGGCTAGCCGCAACCTCCGCCTCCTGGGTTCAAACAGTTGTCCTAATTGAGCCTCACCAGTAGCTGGGATTACAGCCATGAGCCACCACGCCCAGCTAATTTTGTATTTTAGTAGAGACGGGATTTCTCCATGTTGGTCAGGCTGTTCTCGAAATCCCGGCCTCAGGTGATCTGCCCGCCTCGGCCTCCCAAAGTGCTGGAATTACAGGTGTGAGCCACCGCGCCCATCCTCTCCTGTCCCCTTTCAAGAAAATACTCTGCTTTTGATTTTGTACATTTTATTTAAGTTTCTTTGTTTCAACTTTCCTTGAGAAAGGAAAGATTTGGCACTCCTGCACTCCAGCACTTTGGAGGTTGAGAAGGAGGGGGATCCTTTGAGTCCAGAAGTTTGAGACAAGCCCGGGCAGCATAGTGAGACACCATCTCTACAAAAGACAAAACAATCAGCCAGGCGAGGTGACCCATGCCTGTAGTCCTACCCACTCAGGAAGCTGAGGTGGGAGGATCACTTGAGGCCAAGGCTGCAGTGAGCCATGATTACACTACAGAACTCCAGCCTGAGTCACAGAACAAGGCCCTGTCTCAAAAAAGAAAGAAAGAAAGAGAGAGAGAGAGAAAGAGAGAAAGAAAAAGAAAGAAGGAAAGACAAGACAAGACAGGACCAGGTGCAGCTGCTCACGCCTGTAATCCCAATATTTTGGGAGTCCCAGGTGGGTGGATCATCTGAGGTCTGGTGTTTGAGACTAGCCTGGCCAACATGGTGAAACCCGGTCTCTACTAAAAATACAAAAATTAGCCAGGTGTGGTGGCACGCACCTGTAATCCCAGCTACTTGGGAGTCTGAGGCAGGAGAATCACTTGAACCCGGGAGGTGGAGGTTGCAGTAAGCAGAGATCATGCTATTGCACTCCAGCCTGGACAACAGAGTGAGACTTCATCTAGAAA